ACATCATGACAGATGTAGCATCTTTTGTACTTAAACCACACATATGTTTCAATCATATTGACTTGTGACAGGCCTAATATTAATATGCAGATTTTTTAGGATTTTGCATAAACTTAAACTGACTGGTATAGCCATAGATATTAATAGCCTACTAATTCTATGGGTATAACACTCACAAAAATTATCATGATAATTCTAGATTTAGAAATGTATGTGATATTAAATGTATATATTTTTTTTTCTTTTTTACACATCATAGCTGATAAACGATCTCAAGCTAAAATGATTTATAAATATGTAGTGATATAATTATGCCTTCTGAAAGGTAACATGTCAGTTTTACAGTTTAAGTTGACATTACAACACTTGTGCTCAAGGTGGTTTACTATTTAATGCATTTTTTTCTGGCTAAATAGTAAAAATTAAAAATAAAAGACAGAAAGAAAGAAAATGCGTTTACTCGTATAAATGAAAAGTAATTTTTCCTCGATTGATTTAGAAATATTTACAATACGGCATTAAGATAAGAGACAAAATACCACGCATTTTAATTGAATCATATAACATTATTATGTTATCTAGATTCTAAGCGGTCTGGGATACAGTCATCTTGCGCTTCCTGAACTGAAGGGGAGGAGAGAAAGAGAGAGAGTGAGAGACAGAAGCTTATTTCCCTCAAAGTTACAGCACCGCGCTGTTCTGTGAATGTCTCCTGTCTTTTAAAAACGCTGCTATTAGACATAAACGGGGCCAAAGGAAACTTTTATCTTAATTAATGGGATATACATATTTTGCCGTAAGAAGATTCGATTTTCGTTGTACTAAAGACGATTAGAATATCGCAATGTCTCGAGTAGCGGATTTGTCGAAACTTCGCCAGGAGAGGATGAGAGAAATCAGTCAGCGGGTAAGTGCAACGACGCGACCTTTAACTAGAATAACGCAAGAATTATAACAATTCAGACGTTCTGTTTGAATGTTTCACTTTAATATTTGTTCGTCGTGGTTCATAAAGGATTTTAGCGCTTATAGGGACTATAATATTGACTATTAAAATATGAGGTTTTGAGAAGTATGTTGTAAGTCAATTCAGTTCTTTTCAATACAACTTTTTGTATTTTGATAATACATATCGTTTTAATACAAAAGCAGTGAAACACTACTTCAGAAAAGCACTGAGTGTGTTTTGTGACTATAAAAATACATAAACTATTAACATAGAGGTTGTATATAAATGTCGGCAAGGAAATATGATGTCATCTTTGGTATGTTGCAAAGGCAGCACAGAAAGTTTAAGGCTGCTCAGATGCTGCATTTATACCGGTATTTGCACAGAAGCCAAGTAGCATCAGATCTACTTCTGAGAAGTTAAGGTGGGTTACAGCTGGGTTAGACTTTAATACAGCTTTTATATGTTTACACACAATTTGAAGTCAGCACAGAGCCAGCTCAGAGCAGCCTTAACTCTGGTGTATAGAGACACCTTGAGTAAGGGGTTGTATGTTTGCTTTTGGCACTGAATGTGCACCTTTTTTTGTCCAATTATTAGCTTCAGTACGAGTTTGAGTTGTGTAGGTGTTACTGAGTGGGAATGTTGAACAACAGACTGTGTGTGTGCGCGCATAGAGAAAAATTCAAGAGAAGGAGAGCCAAAAGAGAGGTTGCCATAGAAATAGCACTCATTTAAAGCATCAATTCCAGGTTCAGGTCCGAAGGCAAGATTTTTTAAACAGTGAGATTTGTTATTGCTCACACATACCCACACACACCTTCTCACCACCTCTTCTTCTATTAAATGGTGATGTCATAGGTCAAACTGATGTCTAACATCAGTTTAAGCATTTTAAATGTAACCAAGAGCAGTGTTTGCTAGTTTGCTTGTCCTAGTATTTATAAATTTATATAATCCACCAGTCTTTGTCAACTTTTGGCCATTAACAGTGCCCACTTGACACATTAATAAGCACTCTCTGGTGTTATTTGCGAAATCCAATCCACCAGCAACCCAAGATCAGAGACATGTTGTCACACTATGTGGGGTAAGTTGTCACATGGAATCTGCTATTAAACAGCCTAAAAAATATAAAAGCAATTCATGAAATTGTAAAAATACAAAAATGTACATTGTGTCTCTTGAATTTAACCAAACCTTACAGTTGACATACACTCTCTGTGACAACTAGCCCCAGTGTCCCAAGTATTTATATCGACATTGGCTTTCGAAAGAATCCATATCACTCGACTGGTACTGTCCTGTATTGTAATTTGCTTTTGTGTAAAAGTGTTTGCGAAGAATGTCAAACCTAAAAAATATAAAAGCAATTCATGAAATTGTAAAAATACAAAAATGTACATTGTGTCTCTCGAATTTAACCAAACCTTACAGTTGACATACACTCTCTGTGACAACTAGCCCCAGTGTCCCAAGTATTTATATCGACATTGGCTTTCGAAAGAATCCATATCACTCGACTGGTACTGTCCTGTATTGTAATTTGCTTTTGTGTAAAAGTGTTTGCGAAGAATGTCAATGTCAACTAATCAGTCATGGTTCCCCATAGGCCAGCTGTATCCAGGCCATCGGGCCACAGCAGGCTGAACTAAATCTGGAGCTGGGACTATTCTAACTAGAGCACCGACGTTAAGTCCTGCCAGTCTCAGCCTATTTCCTTGACGGGAGATGACACCAAACTTTAGACAAGTTCGCTGAACTCAGACAACAATGTGTTCAGGGCACATAGCACTCATGCTTTTGTACAGAAAGTTTGATTTAATGTCAACTTTCAAGTGAACTACGACCACAGAGGTTGTTTTCGTTTTGCACGCTCAAATAAATTTCAGTAGCCTGACATTATTTTTTATAAACGCAGACTTGGAAATGTTAGCTGCTCCTAGTTTGTGCTTCTGTGGTTTGTAATATACAGAGTCATACTTAAGTTTAGTTACAAAACAAAGTGTCACTTTACCACATGGTTTGTTCTCCGACTTAGCATGAACTATTGCGACTTCCCAAATCTGCAGAGATGATCGCACATACACGTACCAAACAATGCAGAAACATCCTGGAAGGGCTGGTTTTGAACAAACTAGGTCAATTTAGGTTTGGTAATTTGATAGCAATATCCTGCAGGTTGTGGACTGCTACAGACACACACACTAACACACTAACCGGTTTTTAATACATTTTCAGTTGCTTACTTCCAACACATGTCCGTGTTCCTATGACAACCTGTACTCATGCATCTTGCAGATTAGAAAGAGGAAGTGCTCTCTCATTATTTCCTGCTTTGCATGTCAACAGAGAGGCCGATTTTCAGAATAAGCGATCCCAAAACTGGGTCTGGTGTCCTCAGAGATGGAAAAAATGTGAGACATCTTATCTTAAAAATTCAGTTGACATTTCAAATTCATTTTTAGAATCGTTTGTCTAGACATTTAGCTTTCTCTTTCCTTCATTTTAGCAAATTAACCCATCATAAAACACATAAAAGAGGAAGATGGTCAGCCTGGGCTGAGTAGAGCTTCTGTAATAATGCTGACTAGAATATTAACCAACACCAGCTGCTGGTCAAATCTTTTATGATCAAGAACATTGCAGAAGTACACATCTCAGAACGTCTGATGGGTTAAACTGAGTTTACAGAGTTGCACTGGTAATTGAGCAAAATTAATGCCTGGACTTATTAAATTTACCTAATTTAAAGCTGCAGTGTGTTTTTGAGCTGTAAATGCCATATAATTACTCTGGAGCCAGTAGAAAATGATTTCATGACAACACGGATTGGCTGATGGTACCACAAGAACGGACGCAGTCTTAAACTAAACTCTAGCAAATATCCTGTCGGTATATGAGCTGTGACGTTAAAGGCAGCAGAGAGGAACATATAAACGGGGAATATTTCATTATGTTATGGAGGATGTTTTGCTAGTGGCCGCTCAAAATTTAAAATCGCTCAGATGGTTCGCTAAAAAAACCTTTCTATGCTGTACCAGTGTGCAAAAATGGCAGGGTGCAAACTAATGTTGAAACTATTAAAAATCCTTTTAGGTAATAGAAATAATGCTGATATAAAATATAAATATTAGATGGAAAAATTGAATTTAAAAATGTTACTTTGGTAACTGAAAATAAGCACTGCATGTTTACGCTGCAATAAGTTTAAGTTGTAGTACTACCATTACTAAAACTAAAATAAAAATAAACTAAAGCTAAATAGAAATATTTAAAAACAACTAATAAAAAATGACAAAACAACATAAAATTACTGAAACTTAAACTAAAACTAACGAAATAAACTAAAATATAAAAAATATATATATACCTGCCTCCACTAATTGCCAACACACATCAATTGGCCTATTAGATTGTGTCCACAAAGACCCTCAGAGGGTGAAAGAGAGGACAAACGCAGAAAAAAATAGAAACCAACTTATCAAACTAGGCATGTACGTAACCAAGACACACAAATAGATGAAGTAAATCTCAGAAATGAGAGCCATTGTTTGCTTAAACCACATGAGTGACTTTTTATAGTGGCTGATAGGGTTCATTTGTCTTTCCCTTAAACGCTGATTAGCAAAGATTAGCTTTTCCAATGAAAACCAGTTCACAGGCATGAATGTGCTGTATGTTTTCATGATGAAATCTTTTACCGGTGAATACAGGCCTTCTAGACATTCAATATGGCCATTGTTGGAAGTATGTGTTCTTCCGAAACGGTGTTGCAAGTTCTCTTTTGACTTGGTTGTTTCCCTGTTCGTGAACTCAGCCTGTACCAGTTCGGCAGATGAATCGGTTACACAATAGAATCTGAGCTGCAATAGTGTCATCATTGTCTGTTTCTGTGAGTGTCGCTTGTTCTTTGACCAGCTCAAAGTTTGTTTGTTTGTTTTTCGTACAATGATACTATGCTAATTTCTGGTGGAGATATTTTAAATATATACATATATAATGATGGCAATCGTGATTGATTTATTCTGAGTTTTTGTGTTTCGATTAGAATAAAGAGAAGGAGCGCATGAGGGAGCGGGAGAGAGAAGCCAGAGATCGAGAGGCGCGCTACAGTAATGGCCACCTCTTCAACTCTCTCACCGTGTCTGGAACAACGCTCTGCTCGGCCTGCAACAAGAGCATCACCGCTAAGGAGGCCCTCAGCTGCCCGAGTGAGTCACACACACACATACACATACATCACACTCAAAACCCACAAAGTGCACCAGTAATCCTGTCTGCCAAGTTTAAGCAAATAATGGATTGCAGTTAAGTAGTTGCTAGGCTTTTGCCAGTCTAGGGGACATTTACACAACACCATTTTCAACTAAAAACAGAAAATGTTTTATACATTTTGGCTGTTCGTTCACACGACTATTGCGTTTTGGGGGGTCTGAAAACACAAGCTTTTGAAAACAGTTTCAAAGTTCAAGATTTTGCGTGGGCGCCAATAGCCTTGTGGGCAGTGCGCTGACATATAGCGTCGTTGCGCTACGGGCGTCCCGAGTATGATTCTCGGCTCGTGGACCTTTCCTGATCCCGCCCCCTCTCTCTCCCACTTCACTTCCGGTCGCTACTTAACTGCCCTATCAAAGTAAATGCAAAAATGCCAATAAATAAATAAATAGATAAAAACAAAATGCAAGATTTTGAAAATAATATTATTATTATCATCTCTGTGTAAACTACAAAAATGTGAATTTGTGAAATTGGTGATGTCATACACATGCAATGCTGACAATGTTGTCATCTGTATGCAAAACATTAAAAAAGAAAAGAAAAGGAAAAACACTACCTTTTTAATACAGTCGCTGTCATGTAAACATACCATAAGTAGTCAGTCCTCAGGTCTCTATGATATTATGGTTTTTGTTATCCCTTCAACAAAATTCTATGGGAGTTTTTTTTTTTTTTTTTACTAATTTTGTCACTAAAACACTAAAAAAGTAATAGCATTCCTCTTCCAAAAAGCTGGCGTTTGTTCATCAATGATGATAGGATGTTGTGGATGTTTGTTGCCATGCGTTTACTGAGGTGTTCTGGGCAGTTTTAGCATGTTGCTATGTACTTGCTAGGGTGTCCTGAATGGTTTTTTCATGTTCTTATGCGGTTGCTAGGGTTTTGAAATGCCTGGTAGTCTAAAAAGCTGATTCCTGAGTCTACAGGATATTCTATTTTCTTACCCTCATCTGATTTTTTTTCATTATTTTCATAGGCTACATTCACACTGCAGGAAAATGTGGCCCAAATAAATTTTTTTGCTCATACTGTATGTGATTCAAATCATTTAGTTTCATGATGTGTGAACAGCACAAACCACATGGAATCTGGTCTTTTAGGCTATATTCACACTGCGAGTCTTAGTGCACAATTCCGATTTTTGCTCAGAGCCAAGTTTTTTTTCCAAGTTTCCACAGATTTCCAATGTGAATGCGCAAAGAACGATACGAACTGGGTTTCCAGGTTTTCACAACAAAATCCACCCAATTGCTTCTCAAAACTAGTCCAAAACTAACCCAGTCATGTTCAGGGGGGTAAATATTGCGTTAGTGGGGTCACATCAACCCACAAAGTTGGAAAACAACACGCGGCAACAGTGGAAAAAGTAACCCAATTCCGCAGGAAAACTGTGGATTTGGCAACACTTGTGCAGCGCGCTGTCATACGGAAGTAAACACAGAGGACATAAAGTAAGCGATTATACGTTTATTTATAGTGTGATCTGCTGCAGAAGTCAGCCATGTGCGCAGGTAATATGAAAAATAAAGACAAGGATGTGACAAAAGGAAGCAGAGTTTTTAAAGTTTTATGATACAAGCCGTCATGTTTTGCTTGTATATAGTGTTGTCACTGTAATACTTATGAGTTCTGACACATAACACTTCCACTGATTACCTTTCGCAACTGTCTTGATAATTTTGGGTATGTAAAATCTTTGAAGTGTCTCCCGTCAGCGTGGAATTATGACGAATGTCGATCTAGAGTGACGTAAAAGTCGCTTGAATACTGACGTGATTGTTCACACTGCACGTATGCATGTACTGACCTGTATCGGATTAGTACCACATATGGAAGTGGCACAAATCGAAACTGAAAAGATCAGATTCCATGTGGTTTGTGCTGTTCACACTAGGGGTTGAACGACTTCTGATTTTTTAAAGTCGACTTTTATGTGATGAAAGTCGAGTCGAAGTCGACTAGTCGCTGATGACGTCATTAATGAACAAATAAGTCTGGAGCTGAGACTCGAACACCTTGTGCACAGATATGGCATATGACACAGTGCTGCCCACATGACTATTGCTTCTAAAACAGCTCATTTTTATCAGTTCTTTTGTCTTTAGGAGGTTATATTTCTCACAGATTTCTGCTCGTTCTAAATCAGATACAGATAAAGTAGCACAGTAAAGACTGCATTCATATGAATGCATTAGAAATATAATCTTACATGTCTTGTGGAGCGCTTTCAGAATATGCATTTATTTGTTTGTTTGGAAACAGAGTGTAAATGTGGAAGTCCTTCAAAGATTTCTTATCCTGTTGCGCCCTCTATAGGCGACGTCAAGCTTAAAGTGTCATGGCAGAGCATTGAAGTCGATTAGTCGGTGCAACCCCTAGTTCACACAGTTATGACAAAAACAGATCCGAGTTACATATTAGCAAAATAAATTGGATTTGGGCCACATTTGCCTGTAGTGTGAACGTAGCCTTCGATTCTGATTTGGGCCATATGTAGTACTATGTCTGATTCAGGTCAGATGTTTTGCAACGCGACCACAGTCTGAACAGCCAAAATGATATTCATGCAACTTTTACGTCACTCTAGATTGACATTCGTCATGATTCCGCTCTGTCGGGATTCACTTCAAATATTTTACATACCGGTATTTCTTAGATCACTCGTAAAGTTGAGAAGGTTGTCAGTGTAGAGACCAGAGTTGTTGTTTTGCAGTGTATTACAAAGACCGCTCTATATAAGGTAAACTTACTGGGTTGTTTCGTAAATAATAAAAAAAAAACTTTCATCCTTCTTATCGCCTACTAGGGATGGAACGATTACCAGTTTCACGATAAATCACGATAAAATGCCCTGACGGTTAGTATTACCGTTTAAAAGCCTACTTATGAATTCTCTGGCTTCCGCAACATATCAGCTTATAAACGAATGCGTAGTGGCCTCCGTGTTTACTTCCGTATGACAGTGCGGTTCATGCTATCTTGTTATAATTCTTTTGGCGGGCCATACAAAAAAATCGGATCTGAGCAATAAATCAGAATTGAGCACTAATGTTTGCAGTGTGAACATAGCCAAAGTCTGCCTGATAAAACACTTAGAAAGGTAACAGCATACCACCCCCCCAACCCAAACGAGCCAACTGATTGAAGGTATCATTCATGTAGGACTATCTTATAAATACGTATTTAGCTTTGAGCTGATATTTAATACTTACGGTTATGGATCTGAACACACCCTTAATGATAAGTATGAGCGGTAGTAATTGTGATTGGACACTAACGATTATAATTATAATAGCATTACCATTCTTGATTAATGTTTGCTTACATCCTCTGTTGATGAAAGCCCGAGAATAAATGCTCCTGACGAAACCCTAGGAGGAGCTTGTTTGCGATCCTGCCAATCACAACGCAGAGTCTATAAAAACAGCCGCTTACCTCACTCCTTCCGATGATTTTTCCCGCTTTCTTCCCCCATCCCAACTCCCCCGCTTTCTTTCCATGATTGTCTCCAGGACTTCAAGCTTGAGACGAACATAAGTCTCTTTATTACTTACAAGCCACACCTGTCTGCCCATTCCCTCTTTCACATTACATCTATGTGTTGCAGCACTGAACTGCTGTCTTGAGTCTTATTATGTGGTGGAGAGTATGTGGAATATTTTTAGTGGCTGTTCTACCACAGCATGCCAAGATAACACACACACACATACATACACACACACACACACACACACACACACACACCTTGAAGTTAGAGGTCTGGATAGTTTCTTCATGGTAGGCGTTTTCACACATTTCACCACATTCACTCACACACTGTGTGTGTGTGTGTGTGTGTGTGTGCGTGTGCATCATATATGCCTACATGATAAAATGCATGAAAAAAACATTTTACAGAGAGTAATATCCATTCTTCTCATTCTTAAAGGATACATTTGTGGCATAATGTTGATTAGACAATTTTCAGTTTTTATAAAGTCATGGTTCCAGCCAGGCATTTACAATAAGAGCAAACAGGGTGACGCACTTCAAGGGATTAAAAGCAGTCAAACGTTACTTTAGCTGTACAGATGTCTAAATTGATTGTTTCAATTCAAGGTGGATGAACTCATGGTTATTTGTCACATACGTCCAGTGTTTAAATTTTCTCCTTTTCTCCTTTTGTTTAAAGTTTCTTGACTTTTTGTTGTCATGCGGAAGAGTTGAAGTATTGAATCAAACTTTGCGCAGAGAGGGATAGTAGTGATTTATCACACTAGTCTCATCTTAATATGTATAATGTTTAAGTCTTGTTGTTATACTATCCAAGAACTGTGTATTTTACCTTTTAATTCTGTTGTGTTTTACTGTAACTATAATTTTAGCTGTTTTTTAAAGCTTGAGGAATGAGATAAAATTATTATGCTACAAATGCTGTCAATACAATTTAACGTGCATTAAGCCTGAACGATTCTTTTCAGCACATTTACATATAAATTCTGGTGCACTCTCCCACCCTTTCCTGTTTTGTTGTGCTTATCTCTCATTTCTTGTTCTCTGTTTTACTATTGTTTTTAGCTTCTTCCTTATTTTGTCATCATGATCAGATTTCAAGACCAGACAGTATGAGCTGCTCACTGATGAGCTGCTCTGTGCTCGGCTGCTCTGGTCTGGGTATTGATTGCACTGAGAGCTTGTGTGGGTATTGGAACATGTTGTTTGTTCCTCTGTACACAGCAAAGGCAGATGAACCGAACACCTTTGAGTGGGATCAGATTTACATTAGGTCTTAAAGTGAATTAGATAAATGTATAGGCTATGCATAAAGATGCTGTTTTATTTAATGTTTCGTAGATGAAATGGTAAAGGGAATAAGAATGTGAAAACTACATATTTGTTAAAATTAGCTTAGTGGGTTGCCTGAATGACTTGCAGAGTAATCGTTTTAAGGAAGCACTGGATAAAGGGCTGGTTTCACCTTGATCAGATGCACATGTTAGGGGGTGTTTACATCAGAAATGTTATTGCAATCAAAAACAGCTGGACGAAGCGCAGCGGAATGGAACAGAACACAGGAGTCGCTGTGGGTTTTAATATATTTTTAGCTCGATACGCCCTCTTAAAAACAAAACTCTGCTAAAGTGAGTCACAGTGCAACTGCAAAAGACATCTGTGTGCATACATAAGGCTGTAGCATTGGAGCTTAAAGAGCATGAATTTTATATTATGAACAGTCTGTCAGCTGAAGTGTATGTGTGTGTGTGTGTGTGTGTGTGTGTGTGTGTGTGAGAGAGAATAAAAAATATATACATATACCGTATACACACACACACACTAACATATAGACTATCGTTCAAAGATTTGGGGTCAATAAAACTTGAATGAAATTGATACTTTTATTCAGCAAGGATTCATTCAATCAAGCCAAAGGGAGCTTAAAGAGCATGAATTTTATATTATGAACAGTCTGTCAGCTGAAGTGTGTGTGTGTGTGTGTGTGTGTGTGTGTGTGTGTGTGTGTGTGAGAGAGAATAAAAAATATATACATATACCGTATACACACACACACACTAACATATAGACTATCGTTCAAAGATTTGGGGTCAATAAAACTTGAATGAAATTGATACTTTTATTCAGCAAGGATTCATTCAATCAAGCCAAAGTGACCTTTAGAATGTGACAAATATTTTCTAAGTAAATGCTGTTCTTTCTATACATCAAGAATCCTGAAACAAATGTATAACTGTTTCCACAAAAATATTAAGCAGAACATCTGTTTTCAACATTGATGATAATAATAGGAATTACTTTAGCACCAGATCAGCATATTAGAATGATTTCTGAAGGATCATGTGTCATTAAAGACTGGATTAATGGCTGCTAAAAATGAAGCATTGTACCACAGGCATATTCAAATAGAAAACACTTATTACTGTCTTTACTGTATTTTTAATAAAATAATTGCAGCCTTGATGAGAATTTTTGTAAAAACATCTAAAAATCCTACCGACCTCCAAATTTTGAATGACGAATATAGCAAAATGAACTATCTTTAATTCTCCTTGAGAGCAATGTGATTTAATAAAGAGCAAACTGAGAACTGCTTCTTAGATCTCAGTTCTGTCTGTGTTTGGCTTTGCCAAGACACCACATTTGAAATAAGTTATTTTTAAAGTGGACTTCTTAAAACGGACATTTCTACTGTAATTTATGTATTTTTTAAATAAAATGTTCCTCTTTGAGATGCACTGCTGCTCCTTGGGTGATTATTTTGACTCATGTAGGTGTGTGTTGTGGAGCATTCGGGCCAGGGAAACCCCGCCGGAGCCCCTGTCCCTCTTCCTTCCCAGCCACCCTCAAAACAGGAAGCAAAGCCGTTCTGAAACAATAGGGGTTCAGAGACAAAAGCAATACGCTGTAACCAGAGAAAATGCTCAGTGACTAGTAGCATGCTGTAAAGAAGATCTAGAACAAGCATTTTAACGCAGACATGGACAGGGGTCAAGAGGGAGAGAAAGAGAGGCAAAAACTGGGTATGGTACATCTGACATATCCTTGATTATTTGCTGTAATATTGAAAGGGAGATTAGAGTATGGATTAGAGGGATTTAGTTTTTTTGTATTTCCTTGCTGGAAAATCCATTGTAAGCCGCTAGCTTTGTTTGAAAACTCTGTGGTTGGTTTCTAGCTGGTTTAAGCTAATAGATCATGTTAGACTGACAATAAACCAGCTACTTATCAGTCTAACATAGTCAAGATTGTTTTTGGAACATAGTGGTAGGTCAACCAACTAATGACCAACTTGGACCAACCAGAAGTCAAATTGAAAGTTATGTTACTGAAAAGATCACAATCATCATTTATTACATTTGTGTGTACATGTGATTGTATGACGCTTATACTGTCTGATGACGAGATAAAATAACAGTGGTTTTCCTGCCTGCTCTTTTTTTTCAGCCTGTAACGTCACCATCCACAACCGCTGCAGGGACACGCTACCAAACTGTGTCAAAATGAAACAAAAGGTGGGATATTAGTGCACACACTTGTCACATGGTTTACTTGGATCATAGTCATGCAGACACTGGCTTTGATTGATGGTATGATGTAGAAGAAATTAATCAAAATTGGGTCAGTTTTCTTCATATGGTTTATTAAAAAGATTTAGTCTAAATGGGTCATAAATTTGATTTCTCTGTATGTGTGTCACAATAGCAACAGAAAATGGCGCTGATGAGGAACAATTCGGCCTATCAGAATGTGACGCTGAGGAATAAAGGTGAGGATGTGATGGAACCAAGTGCACTGTTTACATCTGGTATTAGCATGTCTGAGGTGATGTGTATCCTGTGACCGATTGTGATTAGATATCATTGAGAAGATTATGTGAATATGACTGACCAAAATTGAGTAATACCAGGTCTAAACATGACATTGCTCTCTTTGTTCTGCCTCTCTGAAGCCCATTTAAAGGAACGGCCAAGCTCTGCCATCTACCCATCAGACAGTCTTCGCCAGTCACTACTCGGGTCCCGTCGTGGGCGGTCTTCTCTCTTACTTTCCAAGAGCGTCTCCACCAATAACATTGCAGGGTGAGTGACACAAATGACAGACAGATGCATAAAATGGGGCTCTTATCTGTGGGCTATACCATCAAATCACTAAATGAACAAGTTCCTAGTTTATAAATACTGTACTGTAAAAAATGCAATTAAAAACACATTAATCTTGTGTCGTGAAATATCTGCTGTATATATAGAGAGAGACCATTCTCATGACTGTATTTTTCTGTATCTTTTTTTTTTTTTTGTATGTGTGTGTGTGTGTTTGTGGCTGTTTTAGTTTAATGTAAGCAGTTTTGTTTGAATGTTATATATTAGTCATTATGTTCACTTGATTTGAATTCATTTAATATATTTTTATTTAAATTTGTTGTGTGTATTTTTTTGTTTCTGTGGTGATTATGATGCCTGCCTCTCATTTTGTTGTTTTTTGTTTTGCTTTTTTTGTCTTTTGCATGTGATTGCATGCATATGTATACATCTGTTTGTATGCATGCACATGGTCCGTGTGTGTGTGCATGTGCGTGTAGGACTCTAAATGATGACTCTCCTCTGGGGCTGCGCAGGATCTTGTCTCAATCCACAGACTCACTCAACTTCAGGAGCAGAACCATGTCCATGGAGTCACTCAATGATGAGGGTAAACAGCACAACGGTTTCCAACATTAATAATAAGAAGAAATGTTATCAAATCAGCATATTAGAATAGTTTCCGAAGGATCATGTGACACTGTAATGTGAAGTAATAGCTGCTGAAAATTCAGGAATAAATGACATATTGTATTGTAATAAATGTAATGGTTTTCTATATTAAAATTTTTTAAAAAGTATTTTAAAATGGTAATAACAGTTCACAATATCAGGGCTCTACAGTGCGACCATTTCAGTCGCATTTGCTACTGCGTGCGACTATGAAAAAATATTTAGGAGCACCAGTGCGACTGACCAGATCTTCATCATACTTGTGATTGTGATCGCTGAGGGGAGCTTCAAAGGTTTCTACGTGTTTTTGCAGCATTGAGTAATGTATCACAGACATATCTCATGAATCCTTTCATAAGCAAAGTGTAGACGGTGTAAATAAAAGATTCATTGTGCAATGTAGAGAGCTTCGTTGATTATAAATGTGAGATCGCAATGGCAATGTGATTTAATAAAGAGCAAACTGAGAACTGCTTCTTAGATCTCAGTTCTGTCTGTGTTTGGCTTTGCCAAGACACCACATTTGAAATAAGTTATTTTTAAAGTGGACTTCTTAAAACGGACATTTCTACTGTAATTTATGTATTTTTTAAATAAAATGTTCCTCTTTGAGATGCACTGCTGCTCCTTGGGTGATTATTTTGACTCATGTAGGTGTGTGTTGTGGAGCATTCGGGCCAGGGAAACCCCGCCGGAGCCCCTGTCCCTCTTCCTTCCCAGCCACCCTCAAAACAGGAAGCAAAGCCGTTCTGAAACAATAGGGGTTCAGAGACAAAAGCAATACGCTGTAACCAGAGAAAATGCTCAGTGACTAGTAGCATGCTGTAAAGAAGATCTAGAACAAGCATTTTAACGCAGACATGGACAGGGGTCAAGAGGGAGAGAAAGAGAGGCAAAAACTGGGTATGGTACATCTGACATATCCTTGATTATTTGCTGTAATATTGAAAGGGAGATTAGAGTATGGATTAGAGGGATTTAGTTTTTTTGTATTTCCTTGCTGGAAAATCCATTGTAAGCCGCTAGCTTTGTTTGAAAACTCTGTGGTTGGTTTCTAGCTGGTTTAAGCTAATAGATCATGTTAGACTGACAATAAACCAGCTACTTATCAGTCTAACATAGTCAAGATTGTTTTTGGAACATAGTGGTAGGTCAACCAACTAATGACCAACTTGGACCAACCAGAAGTCAAATTGAAAGTTATGTTACTGAAAAGATCACAATCATCATTTATTACATTTGTGTGTACATGTGATTGTATGACGCTTATACTGTCTGATGACGAGATAAAATAACAGTGGTTTTCCTGCCTGCTCTTTTTTTTCAGCCTGTAACGTCACCATCCACAACCGCTGCAGGGACACGCTACCAAACTGTGTCAAAATGAAACAAAAGGTGGGATATTAGTGCACACACTTGTCACATGGTTTACTTGGATCATAGTCATGCAGACACTGGCTTTGATTGATGGTATGATGTAGAAGAAATTAATCAAAATTGGGTCAGTTTTCTTCATATGGTTTATTAAAAAGATTTAGTCTAAATGGGTCATAAATTTGATTTCTCTGTATGTGTGTCACAATAGCAACAGAAAATGGCGCTGATGAGGAACAATTCGGCCTATCAGAATGTGACGCTGAGGAATAAAGGTGAGGATGTGATGGAACCAAGTGCACTGTTTACATCTGGTATTAGCATGTCTGAGGTGATGTGTATCCTGTGACCGATTGTGATTAGATATCATTGAGAAGATTATGTGAATATGACTGACCAAAATTGAGTAATACCAGGTCTAAACATGACATTGCTCTCTTTGTTCTGCCTCTCTGAAGCCCATTTAAAGGAACGGCCAAGCTCTGCCATCTACCCATCAGACAGTCTTCGCCAGTCACTACTCGGGTCCCGTCGTGGGCGGTCTTCTCTCTTACTTTCCAAGAGCGTCTCCACCAATAACATTGCAGGGTGAGTGACACAAATGACAGACAGATGCATAAAATGGGGCTCTTATCTGTGGGCTATACCATCAAATCACTAAATGAACAAGTTCCTAGTTTATAAATACTGTACTGTAAAAAATGCAATTAAAAACACATTAATCTTGTGTCGTGAAATATCTGCTGTATATATAGAGAGAGACCATTCTCATGACTGTATTTTTCTGTATCTTTTTTTTTTTTTTGTATGTGTGTGTGTGTGTTTGTGGCTGTTTTAGTTTAATGTAAGCAGTTTTGTTTGAATGTTATATATTAGTCATTATGTTCACTTGATTTGAATTCATTTAATATATTTTTATTTAAATTTGTTGTGTGTATTTTTTTGTTTCTGTGGTGATTATGATGCCTGCCTCTCATTTTGTTGTTTTTTGTTTTGCTTTTTTTGTCTTTTGCATGTGATTGCATGCATATGTATACATCTGTTTGTATGCATGCACATGGTCCGTGTGTGTGTGCATGTGCGTGTAGGACTCTAAATGATGACTCTCCTCTGGGGCTGCGCAGGATCTTGTCTCAATCCACAGACTCACTCAACTTCAGGAGCAGAACCATGTCCATGGAGTCACTCAATGATGAGGGTAAACAGCACAACGGTTTCCAACATTAATAATAAGAAGAAATGTTATCAAATCAGCATATTAGAATAGTTTCCGAAGGATCATGTGACACTGTAATGTGAAGTAATAGCTGCTGAAAATTCAGGAATAAATGACATATTGTATTGTAATAAATGTAATGGTTTTCTATATTAAAATTTTTTAAAAAGTATTTTAAAATGGTAATAACAGTTCACAATATCAGGGCTCTACAGTGCGACCATTTCAGTCGCATTTGCTACTGCGTGCGACTATGAAAAAATATTTAGGAGCACCAGTGCGACTGACCAGATCTTCATCATACTTGTGATTTCTGTTTGTATGCATGCACATGGTCCGTGTGTGTGTGCATGTGCGTGTAGGACTCTAAATGATGACTCTCCTCTGGGGCTGCGCAGGATCTTGTCTCAATCCACAGACTCACTCAACTTCAGGAGCAGAACCATGTCCATGGAGTCACTCAATGATGAGGGTAAACAGCACAACGGTTTCCAACATTAATAATAAGAAGAAATGTTATCAAATCAGCATATTAGAATAGTTTCCGAAGGATCATGTGACACTGTAATGTGAAGTAATAGCTGCTGAAAATTCAGGAATAAATGATTGTATTGTAATAAATGTAATGGTTTTCTATATTAAAATTTTTTTAAAAGTATTTTAAAATGGTAATAACAGTTCACAATATCAGGGCTCTACAGTGCGACCATTTCAGTCGCATTTGCTACTGCGTGCGACTATGAAAAAATATTTAGGAGCACCAGTGCGACTGACCAGATCTTCATCATACTTGTGATTGTGATCGCTGAGGGGAGCTTCAAAGGTTTCTACGTGTTTTTGCAGCATTGAGTTTTAAAAAGCTTATAAAATAATTTTTTTTTGTTAAATTTGACATAAAAGATTACATACTTTTAATAAAGATAGAAAAATGCCATTACAAAGGTAAAAACAAAATTCTACTGTAAATCACTTTAAGGAGTCAAATATCACCTCGTAATGGGAAGGCTATTTTTTGATCAAATTTTGGTGCTCCTAAATTTTTGACTGTGCTCCTAAATTTTTTAAGTTAGGAGCACAAGTGCTCCTAAAAAGAAAAATAAGCGTAGAGCCCTGAATATTCACAATTTTTACTATATTTTTGATTCAAATAAATGCAGCCTTGGTGAGCATAAGAGACATTGTTGAAAAATATTAAACATTAAATCTTACTGGCCACAAACTTTTTAATAGTGATGTGTCTTATAAAGAATCAAAAAAAATATTTCCTATATGGTTAGGAAAATTAGAGCTACGTTTTTGATTGGTGTCATTGGCTGCTGTTCAGTTCACAAATTTCATGTCTGACCATCCTGTTTGCCTTAAAACTGAAGTTATAATACAGAAATGGTTATTATTATTCTTTCTCTTGCTTTTAGGAGAGGGCTACTTCACCTCTCTGCTGGATGATCTGGAGTATGAAGGCCGGGAATTTGAAGCAGATTCCTGGAGCATGGCGGTAGATTCCACCTACTTGCAGACCCACCGTAAAGATGTTATCAAGAGACAGGACGTCATCTATGGTTAGAAAATACACAGATCTAAGTCTAAAATCAAAGAACGTTTATGACTTTAAATGGGCCGTTGACTCTGAAACCTGATAAAGATGCTATTAATTGCTTTCATATAAACAGTAATGCCTGTCAGACAGACACTGTGTTTATTTTTTTAAGAATGAAAACGAGGCATTGAGGGATATATGTCTGTTGAAGTATGCTTTTAATGTCTTATATTAAAATATATAAAAATTCTATAAAATAACCAATAAATGGCCTATATTAAAATTCTATACTAATTTGTTGAACTTTAAATTTATGCATCACAATATTATATTGTGGATATTTACTCTCAGATTTGCTTAAGATTACATTTAAAAGTGATATTAAAGTATTATTAAAATAACTTTAAGAGAGTTTTAGATGACTGAAAAAATCATCTAAATATAAAAATGAAAGAAATTATCATGCACAGTGTTTTGTTGGCTGAACATTCGACACCAAGGTACACAGATGGTAGTACAGCAGATGGAATGAACTGTACTTCTACGCCTCACTACCTTTTTTTTCTTCACATCAAATTAAATAAGTTGTCCACCCTTAAAAAGGACATTTATTTGAGCTACATGTCCAACAAAGGCCCATTAAATGTTAACAACCTTTCCGATGTCATTTCAGAGCTGATCCAGACGGAGCTCCATCACGTTCGGACGCTGCGGATCATGGATGGTGTGTTCAGGCGGGGTATGCTGGAGGAGGTGCAGCTGGAGCTGGGGGTTGTGCATGCACTGTTCCCCTGCCTGGAGCGCCTGTTGACGCTTCACACGCACTTCCTCACACAGCTGCTCGAACGACGCGCTCAAAGCCTGCAACCTGACAGCACAAACAATTTCACCATCACTCAGATCAGCGATTTGCTAATACAACAGGTAGGAGTGCGATTGTTAGTTAAGGTGGACGGAACAGGGAATAAATGCATTTGGTTACATTTGGCCTGCCTTAAGTGATTTTGGATGAACGTGTCTGTTTTAATTGCCAGTTTAAAATGTGTCATACAAATTAGAGCTTTCAATTAAATGCATTAATGTAAAAAAATAAACAGTTAGTCATGGAACAGTGCAACAAATTGGAATGGGTCTGTTTTTGAAACACTTTACTTGAAACAGATTTCATTGCAAATACATGGTTTTGAATGAGAAAAGCATAATGTCATGATGTAGAGGCAGTGAAAAGTCAAAAAGAAAGAAAAAGTGACAAATGGAAATTGAAACGTCATTCTCTCCGAGTGTATGAGATTGGGAGGCTGAAAGCTTTCAGGTTTCAGGGAGCAAAATGTTCACAGTGCACTGTCTTTGTGTGTACGTCAGTTCTCAGGTCAGAGCGCTGACGAGATGCTGAAGGTGTATTCTGAGTTCTGCAGTCGTCATATGAAGGCCGTCAAACTCTACAAAGAGCTGCTGGCCAGAGACAAGAGACTGCAGCTCTTTATACGGGTAAGAACGAGAGAGACTGACGAGGGTGTTTGCCGTCCAGGTGCGTCTTGTGTTTGCATAACCGGGTCAGGTGTTGTCTTGTGTGTTGCTAGTGGGAGGACAGAGTGGTACTGAGTGATGAATGATGGTGGGCTGGTAGATTAATGGTTTAAATGCCTGCAAACTCTCATAGATGTGTGAATCATCAGATTTCCAGGTATTATGGTCGTGTTTGGCACTTGTGCATTATTTTAGTTGTAATAGCTTAGTATGGGGCTGTCACGATAACAAAACCAGTGACATGTCATGATTTTCGATACCAAAGCAAAACGCATATGCTATTGAATGCACTCCTTTTATTTAAAAAGTTAAATATTGTCAGAGCAGTGGTGTGGAAGGTGACCCAGGGTCATGTGTGCACTTTCTTTTCAAAATCTTGGCTTTCCTATTTAATAAAGAGAAAAAGGCAAGTTTTAAATATTAATAATTTAGGGATACACCAGCAGAAAACCTATGTCCAATTCTTGTCAGTGCCTGATATGATTAACTTCTCTCCGATATTGGTAAATTATTTCAGCATAAAAGGCTATTTTCATGGCAAAACAAAATTACTTTAAAAGATTCTGACCAAAATTAAATTGTATACTATATTGTATATTGCTATATTATTTATATATTTATTAAATATTACTATATTATTTATATATTTATTATATATTACTATAAAATGTTAAAACATTTTGTCTGATACTATTAAATAATTTTATAAATTGATAACATTATTCATTTTAATAGTATTTATTTATTTATTTATTTATTTTTACATTTGTTTTCTTACCATGTCGGCATCAAAGGCTATTTTCATGGCAAGATCAAAGTATTTTAAAACAAAGAAATACTGGCTAAAATGAAAATGTGTACAATATTAAATATTTTCTAAATATAAAATAATCACAAATAAATGTAAATATGCTTTAAAAGGTACAAGTGAATTTAGGCATTACAACATTAGAATGTACAGTATAAAAAAATGGATGTTCACTTGAAAAGTTTTCGGTTACACTTTATTTTAGGGTGTCCATGTTACAGTGTAATTATACATTTAAGTACTGAGTAATATTAATTAACTACACGTACTTACTATATGTGACCCTGTACCACAAAATCAGTCATAAGTGTCAATGTTTCGAAATTGAGATTTATACATCATCTGAATAAATAAGCTTTCCATTGACGTATGGTTTGTTAGGATATGACGATATTTGGCCGAGATACAACTATTTGAAAATCTGGAATCTGAGGGTGCAAAAAAAATCGAAATATTAAGAAATATTTAGATTTCTAAATATTTAAAGTTGTCCAAATGAAGTTCTTAGCAATGCATATTACTAATCAAAAATTACGTTTTAATATATTTACAGTAGGAAATTTACAAAATATCTTCATAGAACATGAACTTTACTTAATATCCTAATGATTTTTGGGATAAAAGAAAAATCAATAATTCTGACCCATACAATGTATTTTTGGCTATTGCTACAAATATACCCCAGCGACTTAAAACTGGTTTTGTGGCCCAGGGTCACATATGGTTAGGGTTTGGTTTAGGGTTACTGGCATGTAATTATGCATAATTTATTGTTATTATAATAGTAAGTACATGTAACGTGTAACAAGGACACCGTAAAATAAAGTGTTACCAAGTTTTCAAGTATTTTTACTAAATGTTGTTACAGATTTACAGAATTCTACTTAGAAATTAATATTTTAGTCATTAAATATTTGCTTGGTTATTAAATAATAATATTTTAGTCATTAAATATTTGCTTTGCACATAAATTAGTTCTAGCTCATTAGACATGACGTTATGGTATCTGTCTAAAATCAGTTTCCTGAGCAGGTGCCTTCATACACAAATCTGGCTGACCGGGCATAACAGCTGCTGTAGATTTTGGACACAACTTTAAACTGTGTGTGTAGAAATATAGCACACAGAGGCAGAAACCGTTAACAGTCCATTTGTCATTGTCTTTGTCGCTCTCAGAGGGTGAGTCGGGGTCCTCTACTGCGTCGTCACGGGTTCCAGGAGTGCATCCTATTGGTCACTCAGCGCATCACGAAATACCCCGTCCTGTTGCAACGTATCTATGATAATACCAAAGGTAAGACACAAGCATATAAATGTCGCCAGTGTCAATAATGACTGTATTTAAACAGCTGCTCACCTCCGGCCTTCCTCCCATGGTCTATAACTTTTCAGTGTCCCTTTAAAAAAAAATATATATTATTTTATATATATATATATATACATATATATATATATATATATATATATATATATATATATATATATATATATATATATATATATATATATATATATATATATATATATATATATATATATATATATATATATATATATATATATATATATATATATATATATATATATATATATATATATATATATATATATATATATATATATATATATATATATATATATATATATATATATATATATATATATATATATATATATATATATATATATATATATATATATATATATATATATATATATATATATATATATATATATATATATATATATATATATATATATATATATATATATATATATATATATATATATATATATATATATATATATATATATATATATATATATATATATATATATATATATATATATATATATATATATATGTGTGTGTGTATGTATGTATGTATATATATATATATATATATATATGTGTGTATATATATAAATAAAATATATGTGTGTATATATATAAATAAAATATATGTAAAATATATATGTATATATATATATATGAATTTTTAAAAAAATGAAAAATATGTATTATATACACATGTGTCATAAAATGCCCCTGGTTATGGACTTTGTAGACTGACTATTGTATGTAACAATGCAGACAATCCAGAGGAAGCTGCAGGTCTGTCTCAGGCGCTGTCTTGTATACGGGAGCTGCTCTGTTCGGTGGACCAGCAAGTGTTGGAGCTTGAAAGGACACAGCGGCTGCAAGAGATCCGATCCAGGGTCGACCCGCGGGCCGAGGCCAAACTCCGCTCCGGAGCCCTGTTCAGACCGGCCGAACTGCTCCGCAGGCAGCTGATACACGAAGGCACGCTGCTCTGGAAAACGCCCAGCTCTCGCCTCAAAGGTAGTGAAGACTGAGGCTGTTTATGAGGAAGTGTGATGTGATACATGTCTGTGTGAGAGGGAGAGAGACACACGTGCTATTGTATTAGCTGACATGTAATGTGCTGTGGGTGTTTGAATGTACAGAATTTCCCGTTTTATTTATTTATTTAGTTTCCATTTAGTTTGTTGAAGTATTAAAATAACTAAGACCTATAAAGACCTATACAGACATAATAAACTCAGACATAATGTAACTAAAATTAAAATAAATAACAAATACAAATAATACAAATCAAATGACAATAGTTTATCAGTAATCCTAAAAAATAACACTGCCAAACACACATGCTAAAAAACAACAACTTACTTACAACTAGTAAGAAATGGTTATAAAAACTGAAACAGAAGCGAAACAAGTAATAGGATAAGTAATAGTTTTCTTTGTGTTCTAGATGTTCAGGTTATGCTGATGACTGATATTCTAGTATTCTTGCAAGAGAAAGATCAACGGTTCATCTTTGCCAGTTTGGTAAGTTACTTTGCAATTAAGTATTTAACTTTTCCATGTAACTGTGATACTGTGAAGCGATTCGTTTGTGAAACACTACAACTATCTCTTTAGTTGTACACTAAAGAGATAGTGTACAACACTATCTCTTTTCTTCTCATTCTCTCTGTAGGATAAATCTGCTGTGGTCTCACTGCAGAGTCTCTTGGTCCGAGACATAGCCAATCAGGAGCGAGGCTTGTTCCTGATCAGCAGTGAGTCTAGCCCACCTGAAATGTACGAGCTCTATGCGGCATCTAAAGATGACAGAAACACCTGGATACGGCTCATACAGCAAACCATCAGCAGGTACATGCATGCAAATACATCAGTCCACACAGCACTCGAAGCTGCCATTTGACTTTTTAGGCATCTCTGTTTTTGCAGTTGAATGGAAAATCCCATGAAAGCTCTTTTCTGTATTGTTCCTTTGTATTTTCTTTTGAATCAGGACATTTTGAAGGGATATGTCAGTTCTGTGGGAAGCTTGACTTGCCAATAGCCTTTGTTTACATTACAGCTCAGCAAAAACAAACTTGACAGCTTGCAAGGGACTCCTTCCCAAAAATATAGAAAAGATACCATTTATACTATGTTGAAAAAAATTGTAAGAGTGATATTACAGAGGCAATAATGTCAAATTCAGTATTTATTTATTTATTAGTAAGTACTATTATTATTATTATATTTATAATTATACTGAATAATTTAATAATAGTTATTAATAGTAGTAATTGTTATTTTATTATTCATATTAATAATAATAATAATAATAATGTGCTATTATATTATTCATATAATTATTTTTTTTAAATATTATTATTATTAGTTATTAATAATTATCATTAATAAATATGTATATTTATGTTATTTTTCCCCCCCTTTTTTTTACTCAACATTTTTTTTGCTAATACCCCCTTGCTGCCCCCTGGGAGTCCCCGGACTGCAGCTTTAAAACCCCCTGGTATACAGTGACACTTTCAAAATGAATACATTCTAACAACTTCCTTCAGAAAAAAATTTATTAGCAAAGAAAGTACAAGCACTGGCAATATTTTCAGTTTCATTCAAAAACTGTATAGAGTGACTTATACTTTTGGTCTATTTTCCCAGAAAACATTTTAAATTTGTACTTGTTAAAAGCAGGGACACGAGTGTATAGATGACTGCAGTGTTAACTGACATCCACTAAAATGCACTAATCTACCATTTCTAATGGTCATTCTCATTTACTGTCATTGTTTTGTCACACAGCTGTCCATCAAGAGAAGAATTCCCTCTGATAGAAACAGAGGACAAGGCCCTTCTGCGAAGACTCAGAGGTTTGCTTTAAACACTAACGCATACACATTCACACTCCCAACACTGGGACAAACATGTTTTCATTCAGATTGTTTTTCAAAAGATGAATCACTACAGTGTGTTAAGCATTGAAGGATTAAAAGAAGCATTTTAAAAAGCTCAAAAGAGCTCTTTCACCCATCTGTCAGATCAGTCGGTTACCTATCACAAGACATTTTTTCAAAACAAACGAGCTAGCTAGTAAAAAAACAAGTCGTCTTGACATATACAGATTTTTATGTGTTTTGACATCTTTACACAGAATTTGAAGGAGGAACAAAGCCACTATCTTGAGTGTAAAGAAGCTGACGTTGGTGTTTTATTCAAACAAGCACTTTGTTCCTCCTTCTCTGTGTTTCAGCTGATATCCAGCAGAAGGACAGGGAGGTGTTAGAGCTGCTTCAGGAGCGGGTCACCCTGTTCTCTGACTTGGCGGAGGTCATGGGAGGTTATGAGGTCATGCTGCCGTCCTGTTCCAGAAACCTGTTCAGAGCCGAGTCTCCTCAGGCGCCTCACGGGGAACAGCTGCTCACACAGGCCATAACTGAGGGTAAGACAGACAGGATGTTACATTCAGGGCTAAAGCAGGGCGTTCCACCTGTATGAGGCTGGTTTCACCCTCTAGTGTGTATTTATTTCACCGCCCATGTTAATAGGTTAAAGTATTCACACTATGAGTAAGCAGTGCATGACCACAGAAAAGAAGGTTAGAGTCCAAGACTGCTTTTGCCATGCGAGTCGATAAGGGAATTTATTTATTTATTTATTTTTTTTTTTCGAAAAGCACAACTATAAAAATGTACAAATATCCAAATAAAAGCTTTGAAGATTCAGCATCTTAGCAATTAATAAATCGGCACAGCATCTGAATAAATAAATGACAGATTTCATTAGTGAAAACAGAAGCATTTTCAAATATATTTCAGACAGTATTTTTAGTTATATATGTTTAGTTCACAGAGATTAAAAATCTGAAATATCTTGGAAATATTAAAATATATATTTCTAACATTTTAAATTATTGTCTGAAAAATGTTCAGATATCTGTATAAAAGCATTGAGGTTTTGGCATTGTAGCAATTAAAAATGTTTTAAATATATAAAATATTGACCCATGCTCTGAATAAATAAATTTGTTGGTTTTTTTTAATGTTTGTTTTTAGTTTGTGTAGATTAAATATCTTTAAATATCTTAAAATTAATTGAAAATATATAAATAAAATAATAACAAAAAATATTAATATAATAAAATTCATACTTGCTGCCAGTATATCTCTGTCTCTTTTTATTTAAACAAAAAAAGTTTAATATTCTTTTTTTTCCTATTTTGGAAAGTTCACAGACCATTTTAGCTAAATCTTCAATAATATCTTGTAAAATGTCATGATGTACTTTTTCTCACTCTCTGCAGTGGACAGATTGACAGAGCTGTTATTAGGGTCCAGTTTTGAGGTTCCTCTGCCCTGCAGTTTCAACGGCCATCACAACCACACTGGAGCGCTAGTAATCAGTAGGTGTCAAATACACAACACGCGGTATGTAAATGAATGTGCTTTTTGTGTGTCTGATTGGCCAAATATACCTTTTTATCTAACCATTGTGCTTCCTCCATTCTTCTAGATGGACAAGAGGTATTAGTCAATGGCTCTCAGGAGAACCAAGCTGCTCAGGTACACAAAACTAACGTTGTTTTGTAAGAAAATATGCTTATATATCTATGTTAGTGAGTTGTTTATCACACTTCTCTGACATCCAGCATTGCCTGCTTCATAAAATGTAATAATTCACATTGTAACATAGTTACTTCAGACAACATAACATAGCACATAGTAAGATGGTTTGATGCTATTGCTGAGTTTTTATGTAATGCTGAAAAAAAATTTGTCATTTTAAGCCCATCTGAAACTAGCAGGTTTCCATAGCAACCTGAATCTACCAAAAACTCTCCATCACGACTCGCCACTGGTGCTTGAATTCTGCGCTTCATCTCCCTTTTCATCGACACATAGCAAGACAGTGCTTTTCAACGTGTGCTGACAAATGAAAGCTTTTTGAATTAATTTGCTGATTCAGAATTTTGATTGTGTGAATAATGCAGAAACCCTATTCTCTACAGGATGGTAATGGGAATCAAATGGAGGACAAGACACCAAGTGAGGTACCGACATTTAGGCTTATTGTGTGCTATGTAGGGATGTGCCGAGTGCATATCAGCGCATATATATGGGCTGATATTAATGATAACTGATTATTTAACATTTCGCTTTAGAATTCTTTAAACTGACTAGAGTGACTAGCAAATTAATAAAAACAAAGCACACTTACACACACAATAGCTTGCGATTAAATGCTTAGAATATGGATTTTGCAATACATAAAGACAATGTGAAAAACTCGTTAACTTTTGCTTTTAATTTACTGACAAATTAGAAGTTCGAAAGTTTGGGATCAGTAACTTTATTATTATTATCAAATTAATACTTTCATTCAGCGAGGATGCATTAAGTTGATCAAAGACGTTTGTAACGTTACAAAAGCTTTTTATTTCAAATAAATGCTGTTTTTTTTAACTCTATTCATCAATGAATCCTGAATCTATTCATGAATATCCTTTTTTGCAAAAAACTAATTAAAGAGCGCTGCACAACTATTTTCAACATTGTTATTATTAATAATAACTGTTTCTTGAGCAACAAATCAGCATATTAGAATGATTTCTGAAGGATCATGTGACACTGAAGACTGGAGTAACGGCTGCTAACAAATTCAGCTTTGCATTCACAGAAAGAAATTATATTTTAAAATACATTAAAATAGAAAAGTTATTTTAAATTATAAACCAATGCAAAGCATGGTCCATAACAAGATTAGGTGAAATGATCAGCTGTAATTCCATTATTGGTATGAATTAGTTTTTAAATTTTACCAGTTATATGCAAAAAAATATTGCCCTCCACTACACTGTGCATCACTAGCCTCCTATAAATATTACAAGGACACCCAAATTTCCAGGCTTATATGGACTAGTGTGTGTATTTATATATTTAAATTATTATTTTTATTAATATCTATAATGTCTTTTGTGTTTCAGGAGGTGTCACAGAGGCTGGTGAATCTCAGTGCTCAGTTACACGCTCTGCAGGTATGTGTGCATTGCAAAATATATTTGTCAGATATTCTTCTAAGCACTGACGTCCAAACGGGATCCAAAATGAATTGTCAGTGAGGCCAAAAACTCATCCTCTCCTAGGGTGTGGTGATACGACAGGACTCCATCTTAGAGCTCTGCCGACGAGAGAGCTCCGTCTCCCCGGCCACCGCAGGGGTTCGTACGGTGCGCTCCCTGTCCCGGGATGGAGCGAGTGACGGTGGCTCTCTGGGAGAGCTGGCCCTGCTTCAACGGCAGCACAGTCTGCTGCAGGAGGAGCTGGGACGCCTCAGAGGAGCCGAGGGCAAACTCAGGGACAGCGAGAGAGCCAGAGCCCAGCTGGAGAAACAGCTCAGGGATCTTAAGACCACTAGCGCCGCTCTAGGGGATGGAGCTGGAAGTGCAGGCTCACAGGTGAGTTCATTTTACAGTATTTAGTAAGCTTTTAGTCTAAATCAGAATTTAAATTCATTTTTGCACCCAGAAGCAAAGATTGTCAAACACCACATGACACATACTAAAGTATGCAAGAGCTACAATGTTGTAGCTCCCAAATCTCATTCGCTTCTCATTTTCTCTTTTCAAGGCCCCATCAACTCGCAGAGAGAGCGATGCCGACCCTAATACTGACACCCCATTGGCTAGCCAGGAATCAATGGACCAATCAGATGGCCTGCAGGAATGCAGTGATGTGGAAGTGGATGTGATATCTGATGACGACGAGGTGGATTCGAGGGTGTCTCCCCGTTCAGAAAGTCCCAGAGGTCTGTAGAATGACACAGAAGGACATTATTAGAACCGATATGAATACATATACACAGATATAAATATAATATATAAATAAATAAATGTATAATGTATTTATAATAGATATAATATAAAATTATAATTTATAACAAAAATAAATGCATATATACAGATATAAATATTGTGTGTGTATGTATGTATTCATAATTAAATAATATAAAATATTATATAATAATATGAATATATGTACATACATAAAAATGTATCACATATTTATAATTGATATAATATAAAATGATAATATATAACAAATATAAATGCATATATACAGATAAATATTATGTATGTATGTATGTATTCATAAGTAAATAATATATAATAATATGAATATATGTATATATAATTATATGAATATACATATTTTATATATTTTTATACACACACATATATATATATATATATATAATTCAAATAATATGTATGTATATATGTATTTAAAATAATATAATAATGTATTAATGTAAATATAATAATATATATTATTATATGGCTACATATCAAATAAATACATTAATTTACAATACATTTACATTAACAGTAAATAATTATACATTAAATATTGAAATTATTATATGAGGGGGAAGAAAAGATACAAGAGATTAGCGCAATGTAGGAAACTGGTTGCCAGGGAGTTTGTTGCTCTGATTTTGTTCCTTTTTTATATGAAACGATTACATATTTAACAGACAGTCTGCGTAGATGTGCTTCACCTAGAACGCTGTAAACTTTGGCCCTTTGTAACACTAACAGCAGCCTACACACGATTATGCAACCAATGTGCACAACACACATACACATTGAATTATCATATTAAACCTTCCACACTCACCCACACATACACAAAGGTACACAAACTGTCAAACACACACTAAACTCTGTCAGACAGGAGAACCTCCTTATGCATAAATGTAGATTTTTTTCAATTTAGTCTATTATTTGTAGGCATGTGTGGTAAAAAAATTGGTTAAAAAATTATATAAATGTATAGCTTTTTTACCCATTGCTTATTTTGGGGATCTGACATGATTGCAGTTCCTAAAGGTTACAGGCCATCTGTCCATTAAAATAATTTACTTTCCAAAGGCAATTGTAACTCGCATTTGGCTTATCAAGTGTTAATCTTGAATAAATTTACAGTGCACATTCTAGATATAAATTATATCGTCAGGAAGCAATTTATTTCATCCAGATCATTTGGTAAAATTCCAAAGCATCTGAACTGAAAACTGCCTCATTTCTGTGTGTAATGTCTAAATACAGTTTCATTTTTCAGTATTCTTTTACTTAATTGTTTTTTCTCTTCATCTTCTACAGATCTGCAGGACATTCCTGAAGAGAGTGAATCCGCTACAGACCCTCGGGACCGTGAGGCCTCACACTGCTAATGTTTTTTCAATTCTCTACCCAAGACTGGCCTGTTGTCTGATGGAACAGACTATAGACTCCATGAGCAGGTCTTCCTCTGAACAGGGAAGGGTCTTGAGTAGTTTATGAATATTCATTTCATTATATACATACAGTATTTAGTTGTATCCAGTAATTTTGCTTACAGCTTCTGTGTGGCCGTTTATGACATGTTAATATTCAACATGTCTTCTCCTTGGGATCCAATCATATGGCTTTTGACATCCACGGACCAATAAGGAAATGCCAAAGCATCGTGATGGAGATGGAGTCAGACAGATAATGGGACTTTGCACTTGATAGCAGCATGAAACAGTCTTGGGATTCTTTAAGAATATTAAGATCAACCAAATCAACCAAACATAACTGATCCAGCTCAAGGGTACCGGCAGAAAGCAGTCAAATTGATGTACTGTATGTGAAAACTCATCACAATGCTTTGTACCAATTCTACACATGCTGGAGCACGCAAAACCAGAATAGAGCTTCTGTTTCTTTTTTTTTTGTCTGTGAGAGGTCATTGTAAAAAAATGTCTCTTTCTTGTGCTTTATTTTAAATTTATTTATTTTCCTTTATTTTAAATGAAAAGTTAAATTGTCTCTCGAGCATGTCGAAGCAGTTAGAAAGAAGCCATAACTTGAAATATACCAACATAATAGACTGCGACCAAAACTACTGGCTATAGAACAGAAAAAAAACTATTTTCAGAGACTTGAGGGATTTTTTATGAAGGAATTATATTGCAGTTAAAGCAATATATAGAAATATATTTACATCTATAGCAGAGAACTTAATAAACCCAGGAAGGTTATTATGATTGAGTATTATGATATTATAAATGGTTCCTCAGCCCACAGTGTGTGTTAACGGGGAATACTTTGTAAATATAAGATTTATTGACTAAAATAGATCAGATCACCAAAATCTGCCAGTAACGCCGACAACATTTGATGTGTCTTACTACAGTTCTGCTTATGTTTAAATTTTGCTTAAGAATGTTTTTTGCAATTACTTGACTGTGTGCCAAAATTCGCTTGGCTGAATAATGCTGAGATGTATTATGCTTTTATTTTAGTCCAACATTTCAGGAAGCAATGTCTTAGAAATTATTGTAAGATGATGTTCTTCATGGTTTGAAGTAACTATAAGAAACATAGGATTTACCGAAGTCACACATCAAAATGTTTGTATGGAAAATAAATGACGGAAACATTGTTGAAGTGTTCATACAGTGTTTCAGATATACTGAAGTGGATATAGAATACTGTTGAAGAATTAAAAGCGTTGATATACAACATCATCGGGATTGGTTTATTCTCTTTCATTTGTGTGTGAGTAAATCAAAGCGAAAAGTGTGATCAAATTAGTCAACTTTAATGTTAAAGGAACGGTTCACCCAAAAATGAAAATTGTCATCATTTACTCAACCTTAAGTTGTTCCAAATCTGTATGAACACAAATGAAGATTTCTTTAACCAAATAGTTGCTGGTAGCCATTCACTCCCATTGTATTTTTTAATAAATGTCTTTTTACATTCAACAGAAGAAACTCATACAGGTTTGGGTGAATTGTCCCTTGAATACCAAAGTCCTCGATGGTCATTCTCACTACAGTCTGATCTCATGAGAAAACTATTTTATGTTGTGATAATTGGTGGCGAATTTGTACAGTACGATTTGATTCATAAGATTTTTAGAAAAACTAGACCTGAAGGTCCACCCCTAATACTAACCGTCAGTGAGGCATAAGCAAATTGTATAAAAAATTATGAATGAGATGAAACAAATTTATTTAAATTCGACACCAATATGCCAAAACATAAATTCTGATTTGCCATGAGAGTGTGTTTGTATAAAACCTTTGGGATAAGCTGTGGGGCAGGGTTTGTGCTGCAATTGACCAATCAGAATTGAGTATTCCAGAGATCTCTGATATTTCCACAGCTACACACAAACAGATTTTGTATGTTTCTATCCTTATTTTAATAATAAAACGTGTACATTTAAATTCATATGTGCATTTACATATCCATCTGAATCCAGATCTTTGTCTCTGGCTAGCAGCTAAAAACAATGTCAGCCAAGGGACGAGTATTATTAGCTTGGTGGCACAGGCAGCATAGCTGGCATTCAGACACACACACACACACACACACATGTACTACCTCATCTATCACTTCACTGTCCTAAACAGTGTTGGGGGTAACGCATTACAAGTAACGCGAGTTACGTAATCAGATTACTTTTTTCAAGTAACTAGTAAAGTAATGCATTACTTTTTAATTTACAAGAGAATATCGGAGTTTTCAAATACTTTTTTTTTCCAATTTATTGATTGACAGCTCTCCTGTCCCCATGTTGAGAGAAATCAGAAGATATTACTGTAGAACTGTTGAAAGAATGAGTAAATCTATCGAACAAATCAGAGCACTTAAAAAAGAGTGATACACTGACTAGCTGTGTATTACAGTGCAACAATTGCCTTCCCTCACCTTGCAGTGAAATGCCTTTACCGGAGGAATTGCGTGGTACATTATTTATCATAGATTTATAAAGCATTGACTTGTGTAAACGTTCTATTTGTGCATAGTACAAAATATAGCTTCTTCCTTTCTGAATACATTAAGTAAATCTAAATACAACAAAACTAAATCTGTTTTATTTGTTCTTAAACAATGAGTTGCAACCTTACCCTTCACACACA